TATGGGTGTCTACCAAGTCTGTTCAAATAAACAAATAAAAGCCCTTGGGTAAAAATTGGCCTGGGGGTGGGGGGGGGGCTACATACAGGTGAGCGACCTCAGGGCCATCATGGCCCTCTTGTTTCCCATTCGAACAGGTGAGCAAAGAAGTTAGATATTACAGGGGCAAGCTAGGTCATGTACCTGCAAACAATCAAACAATTTTAGAATTTAAGATGGTCAGTTGTTTCTGGAAATGAACAATAGTCTCAGGATGGGCATTATTGCTTGTTCAATATATTCTTAGTACAGTGTTGTACTTGATGGCAAGCTTGATTAGATAAGACTGATAATACTGATACAAATGAACCAGTATTTTGTCTGATTGTCCTCTACAACTATCAGTATACTGTCAATAACATTTTTGTTTTTTCTTTATCTGGTTTATTTACCCAGTTTTCAATAGATATTTCTTTCAGAATATAATGAAAAGAAAATAGTAGATTAGACATGATTAAATAAGTTGTTATTAAAAGTATAATCCAGAATTTTGCTAATGACAAAATCTGTGTAGGGTAAATTATATTATAATATAAGTATTAGGGCAGTTTGAATTTTCAAAATATTTTGAATAAAAATGTGAAGGAGTTGTGAGTTTGTTGAAATTATCATAAATTTACTGTAAGAAAGTGGAGTCAGAGTTGAAATGTTAATAAATCTGAAGTGGCAACAATAAACTGCTGTCTTGAAATTCACTGCTGTATTAATATTTGTAACTTGAATGAGAATTAGAAAATTAGAAATAAATAGATAAACATGACTATAAATATAGTTTTATAGTTTGATTATTTTACCTGCTTTGATTTATAAGCACTTGACATTTACTTTGCTTACATGCATTGTCTATGGAAGACCAATGAAATCATGCAGTTTATTTTAAAGTTAAAGGGTGCAAAGTGTCAAATAAAATTGTTGTTTACATTATAACATGTAAAATTTGATAATATTTATCATCTTTTCCTGATATAAATAAGACATTTAAGATTTCACGATTAATTAGGACATTTGGGAAACATGCTGTAGATTATAATTGTTCAAAAGAACATTTAATCTAGCTATTGTATCCATTGTTATTTTAAAGCAGCATACCTCCAGATTTATGCATGAAAATTTGTAAAATGTACGAGAGTAAGGCACTTTCAATCCAAGCAAATGAGTAAGTACCAAAAATACTATTGTAGGTAAAAATATAGATAAATATAGGCCTTAACTGCATAAGTCATATATATAGTAGAAATGTGATAATATGACATACTGCAAAATCAGTCATTAATCACACAAAACATGTTAATTATTACTTGTATCTTGAATCTTTTAACTTTTCTTATTAAAAACACTTTTCTCAAGTTTGATTTGCTTGAAATATTTTTACTTATCTGGAGACATGCAGCTTAAAAAGGAGTTGTGTTAAAAAAAAAAACCCATAATATAATAAGATGGAGCAGGCAACAGTCACCAGTTTATTAGTTTGCATGGAACTCTAAGGCACTGGCTTGCTTACATCATGATCAAACCATTTAACTATATACCAGTAATTATATTGATGCTGAGCATTCTAAAGGAAAATCTATTAAGCATTTTCAAAACCCAATTATGTTGCATATTAGTGCAGATATTAATTCATATTCAGGCTTGATAAAATTTTTATTAAACAGGGTAATCTGTTGATTATTTCTTACTAGTTGTAACTAATGTTTGTACATTATTCATTCAAATGCATTTTTATAAAGATAATGTAAAAAATCTTTAAAAATTAGAACTGTCACTTAAATGTATTTAAATCTTAAAATTAAGATTCAGCCAATTGATACAGACCAAAATGCAGTCATTTATTTATTTCTCAAGTTTGATTAATTAAGTCTAAGACATAAATAAAGTATAAAATATTAATGCCCTTTTGAACAAATTTGAGACAAATTTCTTCCTCATAAGCATAAGTGTTTACAACTGTTTGAGGTTTATTTACAAGGTGGCAATAAAAATCAATTTTCTATAAATCTTTATGAATGCATATTTGCTTGAGAGATGCTTTTAATAAACTTTGTTTTATCATTGTATAAACATAGAATTAGAGATGTTGCCAAGAGTTTCTGTAAACACTTGCAGTGATAATAACAGCTCTTGATGGAATTTCTCTAATTACCCGCTTTCCTAATTGACTACAAAAAATGATAAAATACTTGATGATGGTACCATCTCATGTGATGGTTTTTTTTGCTGTGGAACTTCAGAGTTTTATATTCTTTAATGGTGATCGAGCCAGCATAATTTAGGTTACATATTTATAATAGTTGTACTATTTTAGAACTATGATAAAAAAATTCTCATGATGATGATATACTAAATAAATATCTGAAATCTTTGTATTGTTTGTTACGGATGAATACAGTGTGATGTACATTATCATAGCTATAAGTAAATACAACCTCTGACAACTTCAAGTGTGGGACAAGTCCATTTCAGATATTAGTAAGTGACTGGGACATTGAGGTAATTTGTGATATTTCTAAGTAATTGACAAGTCCATTTGAGATATAACTATGTGTGGGACAGGTCATTGAAACAAAGTATGGGAAGTGTAAAAAAGCCTAATGAAATGCTAAATTATTAAGATATATTATTATTGTTTCAATTAGTTTTCAGGTTTTTTTTACATAATAGCAAATATAACAGTTATGCAATGAGAAATTTAACTTGTAAGATTCAAATCTGAAAGAAAACCGCTGTCAGTTTATCTTACCTGGAAGTTATTTTACCTGTATGATATGATATAATGTTACCAGCTGTGTAAAAATATATATATATTTCTTACTAAACATTTAACCTAACTGATAAATTTATTTTCTTGTTGAAATATTTCCAATAATTCAATGCCTAGGCAAAAGCCACTTTGCCATAAATTTGCAATTTCAGAAGATGGAATTGAGATATTAAAGTTTGCTAAGTGATGATAATACTGACTTTGTATAAAAAAACTTTATATGCTTGAAATTTAGATCTGGCTGCATGGGATGTCTGGAGCTGAGTGGTTAACTGCATTGACTCCAAACCACTTGCCCCATCCTCTGTAGTTTGAATCCCATTGGGACTTTGGATTCTTAATTTCATGTGATCAAATGCCGAAGCTATCCAGCTAGCTTACAGAACGTAAGTTGTTCCCCAGAGGTGCCGGCAAATCTGTTTGATTTAGCTAGTTGAATAGCTTCTTCATATGAGGGAATCCATTGTCCCTGTTGGGATTGACTCAAGACACATATTAGTTCCTTTGCCAGCAGACTCAAAAATTGTTCAAATAAGCTACATGTACATGGTTTCTACATTATGAAGCTGAAATAATTGTTTTCTAAATTAATAAGTACATGACTTTGTAGTGTCAAAATAAATAAAAGCTCAGAATTCTCAATAGGAGTTCATTCAGTAATTTTAGTGATAAGAGTTCTAACCATATATGTGTATTTATGAATTTGTATCACTTTCTAATTAATGCAAGAACTGTCCTTTGTTTTGGCTGACGAGGTTTTTCCTTTTTTAATTTTTTTGAAGGGATAAAAAATTTCAGCCACGGTAAGAAAAACGGGAAAAAAGGGTTTAATTAATTGGGGGTTTTGTTTCAAAGAAATTGACTTTACCTTGGGCCCGGTGAGGGGGTTTTGGAAACCCCCTTTTGTTTTCCTTTTTTTTGGAAACTAAAAACCCCCTTATAAGTTTAGCCAAAATAATTTTCTTTGTTTCGGGCCAAAATGAAAATTAAAAAAAATGGTTTAAAAAAAGGGGCACTTTAAAAAAAAAACAAAAATTGCAAAAAAAAAAAAACTAAAAAATTTTAACCTTTTCCAAAATTTTTGGCCCCAAATTCTTTGAAAAATTTTGTTACATTTTTAAAAGGAAAAATGATTTGAATTTTTGAGTTTTTAACATAATAATTTTAAATGGGTTTTCTTTAAAACATTTTCAACTTTAAAAGGGATTTTAAAAATTTTTTCTTCTAGCACTTAAATTGCTTGTCACAATTCAAATTATACTTATGTTTTGTGAAATGATTAGCAAAAAACAGGGCAGTCATTTTTTTTTTCTGATAACTCCTGATGAGATAATTTATAAAAAAAAAAAAACTACCAGTATAATACAAAGGTGTTATTTTCTGTTCTTTCCCCAGAATCAAAAAGAAATATAGCAAATAAGTTATATCCAGTGAACAATATTAAAAAATAATCTCAGCTTTAATACTAAGATTAATTATAATATGTTACCAGATGAGTAACAAATAAAAAAAGTAGAGAATGTTAATATTATGTTTATGCAAGAAATACTCACAATACAAGTACTGCTGACATTTTAGCTAAAGAATGGGGTTCACCCCTGGGTGTCAGTGTCACAGTTTAGTTCAGTTTTTGTGTTGGTTTTGCAACTTGGTTATAGAGAATGAGTGGAAGCTTCACACACATAATTATTTGAGAGCATAATCGGATGTCACTATTCAAGGCCCATAACTCTTACATGGACAGAGTTATGGCCCTTTTTATACACCTGAAAAAACTTCAGAACGTAATATGGTATGGCATTGTCCGTCTGCACAAAGAGAATAAAATAGAACAACAATACAAGGAGGTGGCAATGCATGCCATCTATAAAATAAAAGAAAATAACAAATAAAATGGCCCGTTATCCCATTTCAGTCGCATGACCGTATGTCCATCCATAGACAATTGGTTTCTGCAGGTTAACTTTTGAAAGATTTCCAAAAAAAAAAAGATTCTCAACTCTTGTGTTATTTAAATGACCATAACCGCCAGATTAGGGAGTCTTGCTCTACAGTTACAAACCCCACCCTCCATTGCCTTGGTTAGCGTCTTTTCATTTTCATGAGACCTTTGAATCACATGAAGAAATTGGTGTAGTATAATAATAAGGAAATACCAATAAATTAAACAACATTTAAAAGGTATATTTTATATTTTCAGCATGCAGCAGAACAAGAAAAGAAACAGAACGAAAAAGAGAATCAGAAAGAACTTGGTAAAGATGTCCAATATGGCTGTGTTATACAGGTATTAATTCTTCCATCTATGACCGAGCTAAATTTCTGTGGTTTCTTTAAAATTTGAATTCTACTAATTAAAAAACATTTTAAACATGGGTGCAAGTTTTCAGGCATATGCCTGAAGTTCAGGGTTTTTTGTGACAAATTTCATCATGTTTTACTATTAGATTATATAGGAAAATGATTATGAATTACAGTTTTCAGGTTTTTTTTCCAAATTTTCAACTTGCACTCATGCATTTACTGTAGCGTATATAATTTCTTTATTCTAAAAGTTCATAACTTTGTATATGCAGCCAACAGAATAGTGGTTTGGTTAAGCTTGCACAATTTTATAAAAATTGTGTTGGTCTTGGCTTTCCGAGTTACCAAGCCAGTTTTCAAAGTACATTAATTTTGTACTTACTAAAAATTAATACAATGTATTTTTACATTCATGCACGTTTGTGCATTTAATAGAGACATCCATAGCTTTATAGTGGTTGTTTATAATTGGAATAGTCCCTAAATTAAATTCATATACTATATTATAAGGAATTGCTGAGTACCAGCTAAGTTGTGACTGTCATAACATAATTATTTTGTCAGAAATACTGTGATACTGGTCAGACTTTTTGCATATCTGTGTCATGGTTCAGAACTGTTCACTATTAAGGGGGGAAGATGTGTAAGCTGCTGGATAGCTCCTGGTCAGGTCTCACCCTGTAAGATTTGGCGCACAAATTGGGGACCGTGACTGCTTAAAGCTCATAGTTTAATTCACATTGCTATGTAACCCTAAGAAATTTGAGAGCGAATTTCAGTGCAGTATCACAGTCATGGTTCAGAACTTTATGCTATTTAGGGGAGAAGATGTGTAAGTGGCCAGAGAGCTCAGTCAGTAGTGCTGCGGGACAGTATTCTGAGGGTGCCGGGTTCATGCCAGATCAGGTGCACATTTTCCTCACCCTGTGACACCTGCTTATGTTGAAAGATTCATAAAATGTCCGCAGAAATGTGTGAAAAAGTAGACTACTTGATTTATAGCAATATATAAAACGATTGAAGTGTAATCATAACTCACAGCATTTACCAATGAGCCTATTATATACATGTAGTAATACAAAATCTTTGGTTTGCCCCACTTACATAAGTGAGATAGTTTTTGCTCATTGAGTTAAGCACATTTTCTTGGAATGACAATAAATCCTACTATAATGAACAGTTATAAGTAATAAAGCATCAGACAAAGTTCCAAACATGCAATTTTGTTATAGAGAATATTATTCACTGCCATTTCAGTTCTTTCAAATGCTTAGGCTACGATAGTAGTATATTTTTTTCATGAAAATCTGCTCATCTGTAATAATCTAAGGATTAAGGCAGACACTATTTAGTAGGCTGCCAGAACCCTCAATTCATGAAGTTTAGTGCCGAAAATACTCACCATTCCCTTCTAAAATAGTTAATATATATTTTCCCTATTTTTTTTAGAAATTTTTTTTTCTACCTGTGCCAAAAGCAGGTTACCCTTAACATTATCCTTTTAAAATTTGCTTTTGCAAAATTTAATTATATTAATTAAGAGCATGTTTGAGTATTGTTACTATTGTAATGTATGTGCAGCAAAAATTGCCTGAAATTCTCCTTACAAAGGAAAGTGACATGAAAATACAACAGAAAAAAATAACACGGAAATTCTCTCTCTCTAACAAGGTACACTCAAAGTGTTTCCCAAATACAACGGAGAAAAACTAAACGCACTATTGGCTGCTGAATGTTAACATTTAACACTATTAAAGTTCAAGATCATAGGCAAGTCAGTATTACCAAAATGGAGTGAGAATAAATTAGTAATTGTCTCTTAGCTGTACTTTAGTAGAACTCCAGGGAAAACTTTGAAATTGATTTTTTCTTATTGCAACATGAACAATAAGCTAAGACATTTTTAAATAATCTTCTTTGGATTGATTCCTAAGCATAGATGTTTCTGACAACATCCATTATATGTTTGTGGGAATCGAATTTCTGTATTATGTAGTTGTCATATCTGTGTTTTGATTAAGATAAACAAAGAGACAAAATGTATGCTGTAAACATGGGTAGCAGTAATTCTTGTCAACTTGGCTTATTTTCAAATTTTATAACATCTTTACATAAAAATATCTTTACTTAAAAAAATCAAAGTTAGCATGTCTTCCATTGTGAGATCTACAAAGGTAACTGTATTAAGCAATATCTTCCATAGTGAGAGAACTGAACAAACATCAGGGATCACAAAATATTAAAGTTTTATTATTAGAGTTTTATTTTGTTATCATCAAAGGGTTCTGACTTGAAACCCTTAGCCGGCTAGCGGCAACTGATGCTGCCTATGAAACCAGTGCAGACCAAGCTCAACCGGTATTTCTAGAGCTGTCACTGATTAACATGATAGCAATGCATCGTTGATATTTTTCTGTCTATCAATAATCGATACACATTTTTAAAAAATCGATAATTTTGATTGATTATTTTAATGTCTATGAATAATGAAAATTCACCTAAAACATATACAAAAGCAGGTGGGCATGTGTAACACTAAGCTGTTATTACATTATGGACACATTTCATACCAGTGATGACAAAAAATGGTCAGGTAAAAATCATTCAAAGGACATTTATAAACAGGACACAACATATTTGTATGAACAGAACATACATTATACTAAATTCATTTAAACAAGTAATACAAGAAATATGAGTACTATATATCTATATATCGGTGTATCGGTGATATACTGGTAATCTGATATCGATGTATCATCAATAACAGCTCTAACAGTTAATCAATGACAGCTCTAGGTATTTCCCAGTTTGATCATGGTAGATGCACTGTTTACTGTTCTATTGGTACATATTTTAAATGATGAATGGTTTTGTCTAGATTGAAAGTCCATTTTAGGCCTAAAAAAAAAATTGATGTGTTTCTGGTGGCGAGGCGAAAAAAAGTAGGGTCGGTAGGTCGGACTTTTTTTTTTTTTTTTTTTTTTTAGTCAATCAACGATTGTAGATATGTCAGATACGGATTATATGGACTTTAAATTATATTCTATAGCATATAAAAGTACTTAAAAATGTTAGACTACCAAACCTAGTCTTCAATCTTATATTTTGAAATAAATTTTACCAATGGCATGACTCGACTTTCGTTTTCATTTTTTTTATTCTTACCGAACAACTGGCTTCAATTTTAATATTATCACTCTTAACATGACCATGCACGTCCGAAAAATGTTTTGAACTGTTTTGCTGTGGTCTATTAATTTGATTTCCTGTTTTACCAAACTATGATCGTATTTTTAAAGAAAATCGCCAGCAGTGACACTTCGGCTGCTTGTTGTGCCGCCATATTAGCCGGTGCGCGTTAATACGTAATTGGAACACGAATCGTCTGTGCCTCACATCGTTGTCGACTCGCAATACTAAAACCCGTCTTCGGTACGGTCGGTACGGGCGCCATTTTTTTTTTGTACATCGATAAAAAACTTTGGGTCAGCGCTAAAAAATAGGGTCGGTCGGGCCACCGGAAACACAACATTTTTTTTTTTAGGCCTTAGATATCTGGCATGGTATATAAGGGTTAACTTTACTAGATGTTGATGATAATTATATGTATGTTTATTATAGCAACTTTAAATTATGACAGGATGCCTTTTGAAAATATAGAATAATTGTATAATTCCATCCATATTACTGCATAGAAAAAGATTTTACTAATAAATAAATAATTTAAGATTGAAGTTGGGTATTTTCTGAAAATATTCACATTGTTTTAATGTTAAAGATAATTATTAAGCCTCAGAAATTAATGAATTTTTCTTCCTGTAGAAGCTAGAAAGGGCAAATATGTATGCATACAAAACACAAAATCGCTATGGTGCTAATTGCTAAAAATGAAAAAAAAAGGAAAGTCTTGATGATAATCTCCGTAATATGTTTTTGGAAACTGTAACAAAACACCCAAAATAACAGGCTTTTGACAGTTTATAAAAATAATAGTAAAAAATAATATGTTTTAATGGGCCTTAAATACTGTTATGATTTTATTTTTGCCAGCTGCTTCATCTTAAGAGTAACAAATATCTGACAGTAAACAAGAGATTACCAGCTCAACTAGAGAGAAATGCTATGCGGGTATCTCTAGATGGTTCCGGCAATGAGGGATCCTGGTTCTACATTGTACCATTCTACAAGCTGAGACAGGCAGGAGATAAAGTAAGATAGTAGTGTAAACAATTTTAGGAGCCATGGTAATGTAGGTTCTTTATAATGAAGAGTTTTAACAGCCTATCATTATTATGCCTCCTTCGAAGAAGAGGGGGTATATTGTTTTGCTAATGTCGGTCTGTTGGTCTGTCCGTCTGTAGACCACATGGTTTCCACTGATTATCTTGAAAACTACTTATCACAAAGTCTTAATATTTCACATTGCGATTGGTCATAACAAGTAGATGACCCCTATTGATTTTTGCGTCACTAGGTCAAAGGTCAAGGTCACAGGGGCCTTAAATGTCTCATTATCTTGAAAACTATTTATCACAAAGTCTTCATTATTTTTCTTTTTTTCCATAATTGAACACTTCCATGTTCCCATTTATGGCAACTTTCTATAACAAAGTTACCAATAATGTGAGTCAATGGCTAGAAAGGGGGGCATAATTATGTGTCATTCGACATTTCTTGTTATTAGTTATATTGTGAAGATTTTTGTTACAGGTTATATGGTTTTATATAAGGGGTTGCTTGCATATCAGTTCCAAGAAACCATTTATATACAGCCATGTAACCTGTTAAGAATCTTTATAACAAGTTTTTAGTACAGAAAACTTTCTTTGTTAGATAAATAAATTAAGTTGATTCATAAATCAACTGAAGCCATGTGAATAGATTATATCAACACAATGATTATTTAGAAAAATAAACAAACATGCAGTATTATAATATTAGTCATAATAAAGATTTTTGACAGGTTTAATTGAAAATAATCATTTATATCATATGTTATTTTGGTTTTGGAGTGATATATGTGGATATATTACCTGTTAAGATTTTAGATCACCCGAGCCGTTAGGCGAGGGTGATATTTATACCCCCGCACAACAAAGTTGTAAGGGGGGTATACCGGAATCAGCTTGTCCGTCCGGCTGTCCATCCGTCCGGCCGTCCGTCGGTCGGTTTTTAGCTCGACTTTTCTATGAAAAGGGGAGCTATCCTACTGGCGTCGGCGTCGGCGTCGGCGTTAGCGTTGGCGTCACACCTTGGTTAAGTTTTTCGTACCACCCCACTTTATTTCAGAAGTATTACAAGTATGGCTTTGAAACTTACCATACTTGTTCACCATCATAACCTCCATCTACAGACAAGAGTACATAACTCTGTCAAGGTTTTTGACAGAATTATGGCCCTTTTTTGACTTAGAAAGTGTATTGAGCTTGGTTAAGTTTTTTGTACCACCTCACTTTATTTCAAAACCATTGGAGGTATTGCTTTGAAACTGACCATACTTGTTTACCATCACGACCTTCATCAACAGACAAGAGGACATAACTCTGTCAAGGTTTTTGACAGAATTATGCCTCTTTTTGACTTAGAAAATACATTGAATATGGGTAAAATCCACTTATTGCCTTAACCCTTTGAGATATTGCTTTGAAACTTTTAATGCTATTTCACATCATTACCCCCATCTGTACGCAAGAGAAGGTAACTCTGTCAAGGATTTGTTTTAAAAATTAAGGCCTTTTATCGACTTAGAATCTTGGTTAAGTTTTTAGTACCAGTCCACTTTTTGACTGAACTGTTTGAGATATTAATTTGAAAGTTGGAATACTTGTTTACCATCATGGTCCCAAAACATGGGCAGGAGAAGGTAATTCTGTTAAGGATTTTATTTGAATTATGGCCCTTTTTGACTTAGAAACTCAGTTAAGATTTTCATTCTTGTCCACTTGTTGACTTAACCATTTGAGATATTACTTTGGAAGTTGGAGTTCTTATGTGCCATCATGAGACCTATCTGTAAGCAAGAGAAGATAACTCTGTGAAAATGTTTCTTGATTTGTACTTAGAAATTCCTAGTTAAAGTCTTGTGTGCCCTTAACTGTCAAAGTTTTGTTTTATAGGCAAGCACTAAAAAAGTCGAGCGCGCTGTCCTTCTGACAGCTCTTGTTTCTTGTCCGCCCAATCACTTAAGATTCCTTTGACCCTTAGTCTTCATATTTGGCATGGAGGTTAGTCATGATTAGTAGATGACCCCTATTGATTTTGAGGTCACTAGGTCAAAGGTCAAGGTCACAAGGGCCTTGACTTCAAAAAGCTTGTCCGCCCAATAACTTAAGATTCCTTTGACCCTTAGTCTTCATATTTGGCATGGAGGTTAGTCATGATTAGTAGATGACCCCTATTGATTTTGAGGTCACTAGGTCAAAGGTCAAGGTCACAAGGGCCTTGACTTCAAAAAGCTTGTCCGCCCAATAACTTAAGATTCCTTTGACCCTTAGTCTTCATATTTGGCATGGAGGTTAGTCATGATTAGTAGATGACCCCTTTGAGGTCACCAGGTCAAAGGTCAAGGTCGCAGGGACTTTGACTTCAAAAACTTTGTCTGCCCAATAACTTTAGATTCCTTTGACCCACAGTCTTCATATTTGGTATGGATGTTGATCATGACTATAAGGTGACCCCTATTGATTTTGAGGTCACTGGGTCAAAGGTCAAGGTCACAGGGACCTTGACAAAAAAAAGCTTTTCTTCTCAATTGCTAAAGAATGTCCTGTCCGCAATGCATTGATTTTGACATTTTCACATTTGAAGCATGTAGAATACATAACTTAGCAATGCGCTGGCTTAGTAACCTCAGATTTGCCAGGGAGGTTGTCCTTGAGCTCTAAATGGCCACTGTTGATTCTGACAAAGTGGTATGCGGGGGTATTCAGGCCATGATAGTGGCAGTTCTAGTTTATCTTGGCAGGTAATATATCCACATATATCACTCCAAAACCAAAATAATAATTTTATTACCCTTCCCCTGCCGAGTTTAGACGATTTTTTAAAAAAGTCATTGCTGTTTCAAATGAAACGTCGAGATAAGATTCCCTTTAGGATACCTCTTCGTCACAACATGACGTCACATAAATACATGACGTATTTTTCCCGTACCTTACGAAAGTAAACAAGAGAAAAGGAGTGGTCTGTTGAACGCACATTTTTGTAATTAATATCAAGCTTTCACAAGGTCATATTTGTTTTCTATACTGATGGTTATATGTATCATTACTCTACTTTGGTAAATATTTATCATTTGACAGTTAAAAAGTCCTTTTAAATCAGAATTTACACCGCGTAAAATCGAACCGTACGAGCATCACCTCAGCGCATATTGTTTACAACGTTGGGTACCAAACGGGGAAATTTAGTGTGTATATTACCCGTCTGGCTCGGTTATATCAATTTCTTTCGGGTGATCAATATCCAATCAAAAAGGCGGAAAAAATCTGGAAGGGTAATAAACAGCCATATAACTGCCAAGAATCTGTGTAATGAATTTATGATACAGCACACTTCCTTTATTTGAGAAAGAAATGAAATTACCTCGTAAGGTGACAGAAGCAGTGTATATACATGTACATATACAATATGTAGTTTATATAAACTTCACGATTATCCGATTTAAAGTGACATTACAAACATTCTGTATTACATGGTATAGTATAAACATATGTAAGGTTTTATAACAAAATTTTGCTTTATCCTGGCCATATAACCTGTCAAAAATTGTCATAACTAAGTAAAAATTGGGTAGAAAATATAGAAAATATCATATTTCAATTGGTGCAGTAATGTGGTCATTTACTTTCTTTTGAACATCTCCAATCACAAATTGTGGTTTCACACAATCAACAGATTAACAATCTTGATGAGATTGATACTATGAACTAAATTTTAGAAAATCTAGACCAGGAAGTGTTTATTTGCTTCATATTAGATGAAATGAAAGTAAATAAGAATGAAAAATAATGTCTACTTTTTTTCCTGGAAACCATCTCAAAATAACTTCCTAGAGTTTTTTTAGCTTGACCATCCAAAGAATATGGAGAGCTATTGTACTCACCCTGCAGGCATCAGCATTGGTGTTGGTGCCAGTGTCATTGTCACACTTTCTGTTAAGTTTTTGCATGCAAGTTGGTATCTATTAAGCTAACAAAGGGAATAGTTTGAAATTTTAAACACATATTTGAGAGAATAATAGGAGGTCACTATCCAAGGCCCATAACTCTAGCATGGATTTCTAATAGAATTATTGTCCATTTTGAACTTAAAATTATTCTTTATCCAGGCTTTTGTTTTACTATCAAGGTCTGAGAATAGTCAAGCACGCTGCCCTACTGACAGCTCTTTTAAATTACTGTCTCATACTTGAGATAAAATACAGTTGTTGGACACACTATGATATTGTTTACAGGTTGTTGTTGGTGACAAGGTGATATTAAACCCGGTGAATGCAGAACAGCCCCTGCATGCTAGTAACTATGACCTCCCTGACAACCCAGAGTGCAAAGAGGTCAACTCTGTCAGTTGTAACACCAGCTGGAAGATGGTGCTCTTTATGGACTTCAAAGACAACATGGAAGATGTTCTTAAAGGAGTAAGTTCTATATTCAAGCGGCACAATTATAAACAATTATACATAATCTGACCAGGCTCTATGCTGACAGCTGACTAACCAGTGATTTTTTTTTTCAATTTTCAAAAAAACTTGTGGCTCTTGAAAGGGGAAAATATAGCACAATAAATCAGCAAAGGGGAACCTTGAAATCAAATTCCAACAACTAAGAATCCACACATTTGATAAAATTTTCAATTTCAATTCAATTTAACATGCATAGTTCATAGTACAAACTATCTATATGGACAGTTTTCTGTCTTTCAGTCAATTAAATATATCTACCAGCTGATAATAGTGCACAGGGCATTTCAGGGGAAAGTATAGCATTTTTAGGGGAAAATACTAGTACATGTACTTATTATGGATTTTATTCAGCTATAAAGATACAGAAATAAAATAACTACTAAAGATTTTTATCATGATGTTCAGTTGATATGAAACAGTTGCAAACAATGGAAGATAGACAATAATATATATGCAGGCTTGTTGATGCTTGCTAAAGGATTGTTTTAGCTAAGAAAAAGCCAGACAAAACAATGAATTTAAATCACAGAACTAATGTTATTGTAGGTCCCTTGAAGACTGTAAATATCTGATAAAATCTCAGAACAATGAAACAGTCGCGACAATACTGTCGTGTGACAATTTTAGGATTAAATGAACCAGATATCAAGTTGTCGGTAGTTACTTATTGATTCGCAAGTTATATTTACAAGTCTGTATTATTGGCATGTAGTAAGTAGTAAGTGATAGTTTTATAAGTAGTATCATTAATCATCAATGTAGTGGAAATATCTGCAGGCAAACATTTGAAAGTTTCAATGCAACAACAGCAATATATTTAAAAGCTTATTGATGTTGTGAAGAAGCAGTAAATTTCTTAGTGTTGAAATGGCCTCTGTAAACTGTCTAGGTATCAAAATGTTACTTGTTTTTCACTGTCCAGGGATAAAAATGGTACTTATTTTTCACTTACAATAAACATTGTATTTAAGCTTTAGCCTGCAATTGATTGTTACCATGACATCAGTGCAGACCAAGATAACTCTCATTATAGTCTGCATATTTCAAGATAACTCTCATTATAGTCTGCATATTTCAAGATAACTCTCATTATAGTCTGCATATTTCAAGATAACTCTCATTATAGTCTGCACATTTCAAGATAACTCTCATTATAGTCTGCATATTTCAAGATAACTCTCATTTATAGTCTGCATATTTCAAGATAACTCTCATTATAGTCTGCATATTTCAAGATAACTCTCATTATAGTCTGCATATTTCAAGATAACTCTCATTATAGTCTTGCACATTTCAAGATAACTCTCATTATAGTCTGCACATTTCAAGATAACTCTCATTATAGTCTGCCATATTTCAAGATAACTCTCATTATAGTCTGCATATTTCAAGATAACTCTCATTATAGTCTGCATATTTCAAGATAACTCTCATTATAGTCTGCATATTTCAAGATAACTCTCATTATAGTCTGCCATATTTCACCAATATTTTGAATTTTACCTAAAAATGATAAATGGTTTTGTCCAGAATGAAAGCTGGATTCATTCTGACAAGTATATTTCAGATATATAGCATGCTAAGGGTTAATAGCATATTCAATTTGTAAGATTCAGTAAGAATTTGAATGTCATTAATAGGGGTAGATAAAAGAATCATGTTTACCTGTATACAGTGGCCTTTTTCCTGTTTGTTTTGTTCACCACCCTATGTAAAACATTTTTAATTAGATGATTACTATACCAGTGAAAGCCTGAAAGGTATTTTGTAAAAAAGGGATTTTATGGAAATACCATAGATCTTCTTGTTTATTTTTGCCACACCTTTCTTGCATACTTTATGTGCAACTTATGAAACAGTGCATGTACAAACACATGTTTTAGGTATACAACGAAAAGCCTGGGAAAGTATTGGCCATCTTGTATAGCCACTAATTTGTTTATTGTGACAATGCTATGACAATTTTAAAACTTACTGTGATTTTACATAATTTAACTTAAATGAATAATTCATTTTTTTTTTAAATTTTCCTTTTAACAGTATATAATAAACACTAGTAGAATCAGTCTTTGGAAATTTTGTGATGCTAATTTAATTTGATATCTTTACTGGTGATATTTCATTTAAATCAATTTTCAATCTTTATTTGATAAAGTTTGCGTTCCAGACCCTTCCCCCCCCCCAACCAAGTTTCTCCATTTGTCAGTATAAATAAGAAACAATATCTATGTTGATGTGATTTTTTCCCCCTCAGGGAGATGTTGTACGACTGTTCCATGCTGAAGAGCAGAAGTTTCTCACAGCAGACGAATATAAAAAACAGCAGCATGTTTTTCTCAGGACCACGCAGAGATTGTCAGCTACGTCTGCTACTAGCTCAAAGGCATTGTGGGAAATTGAGGTAATTTTTTAAAAGATTAAAAGAATTTTTGTAGACAATTTGCCTTACTAACTTAATTTGCTGAAATTCAATTATTTGAGTTTGAAATTGGGACATTGGTGTAAGAACTTTAGATCAAATTTATCTGGCTAGATTTGTAATGCAAGCTTTTAACTTAATGAAATAACATTGGTCATATCAATATACTCTAATGAGGAAGTGACCAAATTATATTAGTGCCTTGATTTATGCCTGCAATCTCGTTGAGAGGCAGACACCTTTAACAGAAACCATTTGTCTCCATGAGATTACATAAAAAGTACAGAAGTATGGTCATCCTGAGTTATATATACAATTAGAAATTAACATGTAATATTTTTATAAAAGTTAGATTTGATATACAACCCAACAGAATTACTTTATTGAGTTTTTCTGGAAGCTTTTTATAAAAAAAAATATCTCTAATTAGAAGGTGAATTTCTTCGAAGGAAAAAAACACCATAATTATGTAACTGATGAATATTTCTTTATATAAACTGAGTCATTTTAGAGTGGATTTATCTGTTATTTTCATGAGCATGAAATATGACTTTCATTAAATTGGTACCTTGATCAATATATTTAATTTTCTAATAATCCTTTGATATTTCCTTCAATTAAAAAATTAAAAAAGCTGCGTCACAACAAAACCAACGTATACGCACTATGTTGGTTTTGTCATGACGCGGCTCAAATATATTTCTGGTTTTCATTAAAATTTTACAGGTTGTGCAACATGATCCATGTAAAGGAGGGGCTGGTCACTGGAACAGTCTTTTTCGGTTCAAACACCTTGCTTCAGGACAATATCTTGCTGCAGAGGTAATTTATCCCCCTGTTCTTTGTTAAAAAGAACTTCATGGTCTTATTGTAATATAGTTGTTGGTAGTGTAACAAGAAATTCAGATCTGTCAAAGTTATTGTGTTATATTTCTTTATATAAAAATCAAACACATCTTACTTCATTTAAAACACAACTAAAGTAGAATTTTCATGTAGTGAAATTCTAATTTATCAAAGAAAGGAAAAAAGGAAATATTGTATGTGATTGTTGAGAATTGTTATAAATTTTTGTTTTAGATTGACAATGATCCAAGAATAGATCCCACCAGACAGAAGTTACGAGGCTCTCCTATTGCTAATGTATACTGCCTAGTATCTGTACCACATGGGCATGATATAGCCACGTTGTGGGAGCTAGACCCCACCACAATGACTAGAAGTGACACCCTTGTTCCAAGGTAATCTTGTTTTCTTGTTGATTGATTTTCTGATAAATATGCTCAACACAATATTTACTTTAAATTACCATAATAAAGATATTCTGTAATTTGACTTTAAGAAACAGATTATAACATTGTTTAACTTCAAAATTACCAGCCGTCAATCAATTACATTGCTTTTATTAAAAATTACCACACCCCAAAACCCTGTCCCCCTCAAAGAAATAAATGAAAAGTGAAAATTAAAAAATTCAACATTTCAAAAAACGATGACAAATACATGTTCTTCTATTCAGGTAATTTTATCAAGCATAGATTATAATGGTATGGTGTGAATGTATAATGATTGGGCTTGTTTTCAGGAATTCCTATGCACGTTTACATCATCTATGTACTGGGACATGGGTTCACAGTACATCTTGTTTAGCCATTGATAAAGATGAAGATAGGCCTGAGAAAAATAAGGTAATCTTGTAGGCTTTCAAATAAGGGTTGATAATAAGAAACAGTTCTCTTGAATTCCTCTTCAATACTTATTTTCTTGAATACTGGAAACGTAATTCTCTTGAATACTAATTTTCTTGAATACTGGAGAAATAATTCTCTTGAATACTTAATTGTCTGAACTGAATACACGCAAACTTAAATACATTCATAACTGATTCTTTACCATTACAGTTAAATAGTAGTACTCTTCAAAAGCTGTTCCTTGCATCAAAGTTGTTATTATTTATATCTTAACCTTTGACATTTATTTGTTAATGAGAGTATAGTTTGATTTATGTTTCCTAACAAGGTACATTTGAGCCGCGTCACGACAAAACCAACATAATGGGTTTGCGACCAGCATGGATCCAGACCAGCCTGCGTGTCCGCGCAGTTTGATCAGGATCCATGCTGTTCGCTTACAAACCATATAACAATTAAGTAGAGAAACTGATAGCGAACAGCATGGATCCTAATCAGACTGCGCGGATGCGCATGCTGGTCGCAAACGCATTATGTTGGTTTTGTCGTGTCGCTGCTCATTGTCCCCCGCCTTTTCGAAGAAAAAAGGGGGGTATAGAAAAAAGGCTCCGTCCGTT